CACCCTCATCAAGAACTCAGATCACGCAGTGAATGACAAAATCCACAAGGAGCCCGACTGGGTAACGTGACGTCGACTGTCATCACCATCATTCGTTCAAGCGTCCTTTGTGACATAGAGGTTCACTGGCACATCGGGCAAACCAAAAGACACCCTGCTGACCTGACCCACTGGATTGTCGCCATAGCCCTCATCCCCGAAGGTTGCAGGCAAAGACTCAGAAGTGGAAGTAAGAGCGGCCCCCTGTGTCGTAGACGTCGTGGAAGAGGTAGAGGAGGGCAGATTTCGCACATCGTCACCATTGAACTCGGCCTGGTGCTCCTTGGTTCCACTTCGCGAAGAATCGTCAAGATCCAACACGAACTGAGCTTCCATCACGTCGAGCAAGTTCCGCTCCCCGGCCTGCACAATGTCCCTATCCCCGATCTCGCCGCGCTTCCACCTTCCATAAAGGCTTTCGTAGTCAGTCCACTGGATATCAGCCATCGTCCCCTCCTGCGAAAGGGCTGCCTCAGGTGAATCTGGTGGCATCGAGTCTGGGACAGTTCCCAGTTCTTCCACTGGAACCGTCTCTCTCTCATCCATAGGCATCTCCCGCCGTGGTTGTTCTGGCACTGGTACTGGTCCTCCCCCACCCTCATGTTGCTCTTCTGGATAAGCCATAGTCGCCACTGTAGGTGTCACCTGTGGTGGGCCCGACGGCAGCACAAGAGTCTCCACATCGTCCGGGTAGGGCTCATGCACAAAGCTCAAGTCCAGGCGAAACGAGGCACTTTCGCCCTTGCTTTGCACAGGGATACGCAACGAACGACCCATCCATGGCCCATCTCTCGAGCCGCCACCACTAATCTCCACCTGTAACATCGTCCGTCGGCGTTGTTTAGGTGGCTCTTGAAGGATGTTATGCCACTCCCAGTCCTCCCATTGGCGAAGCTCACCTGGCGTCAACCTCGGCTTCGGTACAGGATCGTCGCTTCCTCGAGCTGCATCCGCATCCATCAGGCTCGCCTGATACTGGAGCATGGCTTCGTCTTCTCTCTCATGCTCCTCCTGTTGACGGTCCTTTTGTCGTTTTTCTTGTTCCGCCTCCAACCTTACGAGCTCTTCATCCTGGGCCATCTCTTGGATCTCTTCGTCCGTGGGCAGCCCCGGTCCTGAATCACGCCCATCCTGAAAGACGTCCACCTGGTTGCTGAGCCCAAACAGGTCATCCCACCAACGAAGTTGCCAAGCAATATCGCTAACCCCACAGTCCACACACTCCTCTTCACGCATGCCCACTAGCATTGCTTCCAAAGCCTCTTGGCGCTCGCCAACAAGCTCTGGATGAACTCTCATCCTTGCCAGGAGCCCATCGATGTTTGCATTCCTTGAAGCCACCGACTGACCCCCGAGCTCAGCCTGCAGCGTCTGCACCTTGTGGAGCCACATCTGGTCGGTCCCCTTCCTGGAGCCGAACTGGCCTGTAAGGGTTCTTTGCATCATGGACGCCCCGTCACCCTCTTCTGCTGGTTCTTCCACCGCCACTTCCACAAGGACCTCGCCTCGTTCTCGTGCCCCACCAGCTTCCAGCCCTCGGTCAAAAGCTCTCATCACTTCGGCCATCAACATCCGAATGAATCGGACAAACGCGACCGTCATGATGGCCCTGTCGTGGTCGTTGTAGTTCGCCACGGTCTCTGTGATCATGGCCGAGGCAAACTCCGGCAGCAGTGGCCGCCCAGCTGCAACCACATCCACCCCTTCCTCAAAATTCTCAACGTCGACCCCCAGGAGGAAACGCCAAGCGTCCACTGCATGTGCTTCTTCCATGCGATGCGTCGGACTGCCGGTCGCAGGGCGACCGCTTCCACTTCCTCTCGCGCCTCCAGTTGCCAGCCTAGGAGCATCTGAACTCCCAGTGGCACCCCCATGCCCAGAAGTCGGCGCCCTGGATGGAGGCCTGAGTTGTCGCACTTCCCTGGTCACACATCCTCCCACTCCTCTGCCAGCCACCGTCCCTCGCCGGTCTCCACCTTCTCCAGGGCTTCGGGTCCGGTTGTCGAGCCACCGAGGATTGACCCCAGACAGATCCCATGATTCACGGCCGGTTCTTCCACCACGAGCATCACGCCCTCTATCCGCTGCATGTTCACGGGAGTCGTCCCTGCGGTTGCCACGGCCGCAATTCCACCTGGTCTCCATTAGCCCCGATTCATCGTGCTCATCAGCACGACCGCTCCTGGCGCGATCACGAGGAAAACGTCTCTGGGGCGTACGGGAGCGGGACAACCTGGACGAAGCTGCCTCTCGTCTTTCTTCTTCGTAATTTTGGGCGGGGCAACGTGTGTCCTGGAGCCCCATGTCCACTAGCTCCTCCTCCAATCTTCGGTTCCACAATGCAGTTGGACACACACGTCTAAACCATTCGAAGCGAACCCTATCCACTGCCTCGACAGCCCAGTCGTCCACGCCGAGGGTGTCGTCCGTGCCAGCCTGCCGGTCCTTCGTGCCCTCCGGCTTAGGCTGCTCCCAGACAAAGTTCAAGACGTCGTTAATGTACTCCCCCATCTCGCGGAAACACCTGTCGTCAGTCATGTTGTGCAACTCAGCCCTGAGTGCAGCATCCAACGAACCCCCTCCAGCTCCCTGTGATATCAGCTTGGCTGCCTTCGTGAGGATCGGGCGAAACCATAAAGGCAGGTTGTCTGGTATCTTCTGTGTGTTGGCGCCCGGCTTCGGGGCTCCGACCAGCACCCAGAGCCCCAGATGCCCCCAGTGTGTAGAGAGCAGCGAGGTGGGTTCCTGATCCGCCTCATCGTTAGCACCGGTTTGGGGAGAGCGACTTCTCGAAGAGGTCCTGGCAGCCGTAGTCCCCGACCCACTGCCACTGCTCATGCTTGTCCTCCCCGAAGTGGATCTCCTCCGTGGCGACGTCGTGATTGTTCCTCTCATTGGCTCAGGTGGGGGCGGTCCACGCAGCACAGGCCTTCCGGACATCCCACTAGAGGATGCTGCTGAGTTGAGGGTTTAGGGTTAAGGGTTGAGGGTTTCGGGTTGAGGGTTTAGGGTTAAACGTTTAGGGTTTCGGGTTGAGGGTTTAGGGTTTCGGGTTGAGGGTTTAGGGTTTAGGCTTCAGGATCCGTAAACGGGGCGTTTATAGGCTCTTCGTACCCAGAGGGTCCATATATACTACCATTATGGAACTAGGTCCCCAAAGACCATCCTTATTATACTCTCGGGACTTAACTCTATAACAGCAGTGTATATGGACCCTCTTGGGTATGAACGCGTCATGGGAACTTTGCAAAGGTATCACATTGGCTTTAACTAACTGTGGCTTTGGGAACCTGTCCCAGGAGTTTCACTCTCAACCTGTTGCATGCTCAGCTAAACCTTAAGAATGACATGTATCCCAAAAAGCTTAAGGCTCAGATGCCATATAGGAATTCATGGTGTAAGGGAAAAAGGCCCTTACTTTTAAGGGCCGTTGGGTCCTTAAAGAAAGGAAGGGAACCCCCCCGCCCCCCCCAAGCTGAAGTTCGAAAAGCAAGACAGCCAAGTTCGCTCCACCCGGGGGACTCTGTTGTCCAGTATCCATTGTGAACTAGAGTGCCCTATTCAGCTTTTCCAGGGATCATATTGCCCCCAAAAAAAGTTAAAGGTATTAGCCACGCCCGAATATATCTTTGGATGAGTCTGCCTCGCACACCGTCTCTGTATATATATATATATATGTATATGTAAAAATGACGGAGCTCTACGGAAACCACCAAGCTCTGAGTCCCTAAACCCGGGCTTGTCCCATTTACTGCCTAGAAGTCCGAAAAACCTCAGAACCCAAGAGCAGCCTCAGATGAAAAACAACCCATGAATGCTTTCATGCCGTAAAACCTTTAGATTTTGGGTTTTTTGGGTTTAGGGCTTAGGGTTTGACGTGGAAAAGAGCACCTCCAAAAGCTGACCACTAAAATCGGAGCAGTCCCGCTGTAGCCAAGATGCTTGATTTGACCCATGTACTCCTTCAGGGACAGGTCCTTCTTCGCCGTGACCTGCCGGGACTTCGGTTTGGAGGGTTTAAGGCTAACCCACCCTAAACCATAAACCCTCTAAGCCCTAAACCCTAAATCCTAAGCCATAAACCCTAAACCGCCCAAACACCCCCTAATCCTGGCCTTGGGCCGCAGATTTGCAGTTTCCTACCAGAGGGATGACAATGATTAGGATGCCCTTTGTAACTCCTATGATTAGGATGACCTTTGGAGATTCCAATGATATGGATGATGCTTTGTAATTCCTGCAACCTTAGATTAGTGACGATCATGACACTGCTAGCAACAAGCATACTGCCGACACTGCGGACCGCCATTCTCACGACTTGCCGCAAATCCGGCAACCTCAGTATCCCTTAGACTCTTTGACATCAGGTCGAGGGTTTAGGACTCAGATTCAGGATTAGGGTTTAGGGTTTTGTGGCCTCTTGGCGTTGAGAATTAAGACAAAACACAAAGTCTCTAAGCCCTAAGCCTCAAGCCCTCGAGCCTGAACCTCCCGGAAGCCGATGAAGCAAAATCAGAACATGCTCCAGAATCCAGGTTTAGGGGATGTTTGGGGGAGGGTTGGTTTAGGGTGTATGTTTTGCATCGTGGTTATGTAGGGCATGGACTCTTCGGCATCTATGCCGAAATGGTACTACCTGTGTTTTCCGATTCAGGGCTAGGGGTTATCTTACACATGGTTGGCCCCTTCAGAAACATATTCTTGAATAAGATCCTGCTAAGCCAAAGAAGAGAAAATGCAACATGTCCCAATGGCCTAGCCTGCCTAGTGATGTATTCAAGAAGGGCTTTTGCTGCTGGTATCCCCAACTACCCCAGGTAGCTACACTCACCAATCACCGCATTACAAGGACTACTTCACATAATATGAAGACAGAGATATACGTATAAATATATATATATATAGATAATTTTATGTAAACCATGTATATGTATGTGTGTGTACATGTATATATGTATATATCACGTCTCGAGGACCCACGGCCCAGGCTTCGGAGGAGCAGCCTTCTTCACGGCCTCGTCAACGGTGACCCAGCCGACACCGGCTTCCGTCAAGACCTAGCAACGGGGATATGTTGGGCCTTATGATTTGGTTTAGGGTTTAGGGTTCAGGGCTTGGGGCAAGGTGGCGGGATGCTGTTTAGTGTGGTCATAACCAGGAATCCTCACGAAGACTGTTGGCAGTTACCGTGGCCTCTCTGCTAACTACATCGTGCCCAAGTAAAGACACATTGAGTAACCTAGATGTAAAGACACATTGAGTAACCTGGATGGCAGGAGGCGTCATGTATTAGCTCTACCTCTTCAAGACAACCGTTTCAGAGTTGTGGGCCTTCGGAGAAGGGCCAAGCTACGAGCCAAAGAAATACATACGAAGTCCCAGACCAGTGCAGCCTTCTTGGTCGGCTCGATGTTGTCGTTGCTTAGCGGGCGGCTGGCATCGTGAATGACATATGCCTCGGCTCGGACGGTTAGCTCCCAGTTAACCCCTAAAAACCGGACCCCCAAACTCCCCCAAAAAATCAAACCCGCGATTGTTGGCGTTTTGTTACTGTAAGGTATACTATAAGGGCTGCTGCAAGGTCGATGCTCGGCTGTTCACGGTTAGCTGAGAACCTCTGGTGAGGACTGGCATGACATCACCGCAGCGCCTGATTATCGTCCGCTTGGGGCCGTACTACGGGCTGGAGTGGACAATATGCAGACAAGTGATGACGAGACCCTTCCGCAGTTTTACGCTGACAGTCTCCGCGATGGTTCAGGGTGTTCGAACATCTCTGCGAAAACTGCGGGAGACAAGCATGGACTCCACCTTAAGGGAGCTGCAACACAAACACTCTCGATCGTGCCTCGCTGAATCTAGATCCAACAGCAAGGAATATTGCTCCTGGGTGCGAACATCACCAGTAGCTGCAGGCAATACAACGAAATCTGCCAGCGAGTATAAACCTGTTTGACTGTGCGACAAACGCGCAATAGAACACGACGACTGCTGCTACACCTCTCCGTATGAGACCTCTATAGAACCCTATGGATGAAACCCTCAACCGTTTATTCTGACTTCTGCCAGGCAAAGCCAAGCTGCATTGAATCCAACCTCGGCACCATGAAGCGCGGTGGACTTCACACCTTCGGTATAGGGCTTAGGGTCAGGGTTACTAATGAAGGGTGTAGGGTGAAGGGGCTTAAGGTCTATAGGGGTTAGGCGGCTTTGGGTTTAGGGTGTAATCAACTATATCACCTACTTGGACGATCAGGCGACTTAGTAAGTGAGGCTAGAAGTGCCTGAATTGGGGCTGGGCTTAGGCTTAGCTTTTCTGTTGAGCTTCTTCTTGCTCTCTGACCAGCTGTGGTTGGCTAGCAATGCCAGAACTAGTAAGGTGCGGGGGCGCACTTTGGGGTTCAATGCCCAACTCTCAGGGCATGGTTTAGGGGTTTAGGGCTTTGGGGCCCTAAACCCCAAATCTCAGGGTCTGGGTTAGGGTTTAGGGTTTTGGGGTTAAGGGGTCTAGGGGTTTAGGGCTTAGGGTTTCGCCGAGGCCCTGCTAGACTACCGGGACCCAACTCCTCCGACCCTGAGCTCGAAAACCTGAAGACACCGATACTGTTGATGATCGAAATCCTGCATTACCTTGAGGACCCTAAACTATGGGAATTATGGTATATTCCTTAATATGGCGAATGCGGGGCTTACATCATATGCAAAACCTTGTAAAGGCCTGATGAAGTCCCCAAAACCCACGAACTCTCCGAAGTAAACAAGCCGAACCCCCTTCAAGCCCCAAAGACTGCCACGCACAACAAACTCACACCTAAATCAAGGTGCAGATGTCCGTGACCAAACCGCAGCAATAAACATCGGTGACATTCTCTTTCTCCTGGGGCGGGGGGGGGGGTAGATGGGGCTCTTAGGGTTTTCAGGTCCTCTATAAGTTTAGTTCTCCTTGACTTCCTGAGCATGAATTAAGCCCTGCTTGTTATGGGTTTACAGTTCAAAGTATATAGTTTAGTCTATAGTCTAGTACATAGTAAAGCATGTAGGAATGTAGGAGACTCTATAGTATAGGCTAGACTGCAGAGTTGGCTCCACACCCATTGGGTTCCTCTGCGCGGGTTAGCTTGCCAAAGGTTCGTCTGTAGACGGTCTTAGGGTTCGATCAGGTGTAGGACCTGTAAAGGAGGCCTCAGCATTCTGGCTGAGTTGTCTTAGGCTTGCTGCTTCAGCGGATCGTTGAAACCCAAAGAACCTTTTGCCGATTCTTCAACCTAGCAAACTTCACCAACAACCCTTACAACACAACCCTTACATACATACATACATATATATATATAGAGTATACATATGTGTATATATATATAGAAACATTTCTATATGTATGTACGTATGTATGTACGTATGTATGTATGTATGTATGTATGTATGTATGTATGTGTGTGTGTATGTGTGTGAATGTATGTATGTATGTATGTATGTATGTATGTATGTACGCACGCATACACATATATACCGACATACATTCACGTGTGCCTCCTCGGATCCCAAACTCTAGAGCCCGAGAGCTTCACGCCCCCAAACCCCAAGTTTCAAGCCTTACCAACCCTGAACCCTAATCCTTGGGACTTAGTAACTAAGGGCGATTGCAACGCATACAATATAAAAAAAAGAGTACTTATAAAACAAGGTAGTTCTTGTCAGAGTGAGGTGCCGAAGCCTTAAACAAAATTCCAAAAAGAACCCCGCGGACGCCAAAGCAGTGGTCTGCTGGCTGATCAGGGGTCTACAGTGCAGTCTAGATCCTTAGAGATCCTCGCCCAAAACACACACACAGACAGACACACACACACACACAGAGACACACACACACACACGCACAGACACACATGCAAACATACATAGACCTCAAGCGCACACAAAACCCGCTCGGGGGTGCGATTCGATAGTTTCCAAGAAGAGCCCAACATGCGTTTCGGCAGCTACCTAGACTGCAAGGAATTAGTGCCTGGTGTCGCAACATTTAAAGCAGGGCTGCAAGATTCTATGACCAAGAGGGTCCATATGCATTACTATTATGGAATTAAGTGCCGAAAAAACATAGTAAAAATGGCCTTTGGGGACCTAATTCCACGATGGTAGTATGTATCCTAAACCCTAAACCCTAAACTTTTGAAACCTAATTCCGGAATGGTAGCATTTAAAGCCTAAGCCCTAAACCATGGTAATATATATGGACCCTCGGGGTTACAGAAGGTCCACGCAGAAACACGGCCATCAAGACCCAGGGTTCGACATCAGCCTTAAGGTTGTAGGCGGTTTAGTTTTTTTTTGGGAGAGCTTAGGGTTTAGGGCTGGAGGGCTTAGGATTTAGGGGTGTAGAGTAGGTGGTTTAGGTTTTTTGGTTTTGGAAGGCTTAGGGCTTAGGGCTTTTTTGAGGGCTTAGGGTTTACGGGTTTAGAGTTGATTTGTTGTTTAAGGGCTTAGGGCTTGCTAGGGGTTTAAGATTTCGGGATATGAATGTGCAAACTCCTCTATAGTAAACTAATTAGGTCCATGTAGGTCGCCTTCTTGGATCCAGGAAGGATGAGCATGCAACGAAGACTGGTCCCCTGTTGGGCCTGTATAAGAAAAATATAAATTGTATCCAACGAGGACCCAGAACACTAATTTAGAGACCTAAACCCTGAACCCTAAAACTCCAACTGGTGCCTACGGCTCATCGTTATCTTTCTCCGAGCGACGAGCATTGCAGTGAGTCCCGTGTCATTGGCCTTCATGTTATCAAAGAAGGCCTCGGGATATGCCGGTTTAGGGTTTAGGGGTTTAGGGGGTTTAGGGGCTTAGGGTTTAGGGGTTAGGGTGGTTCTTACACTTGGGGGATCGGGTTTTGGGCTCCATCACATAAGGGTTCTACAGCGGTTCAGGGCTTAGGGAGGAACGGGGAACTCGGTAAGTATGGCAAAGGGCCCAAATTTCCTTCATTTGGTTTTGAAGCAACCGAAACTCAAATTTTGCAGGAGTTGCCGAGTTGCCTTGTTCATAACAGTGGCTTGAAATACATGGATGGCTGTAACCATTGGCAGCATGATTTAGCCCTGAATTGCCGACGTTGCGGTAGGGAGAGTGGCCCTCTGCTCAACATTCGGGCTTTCACACCACACCCCCTCTCCTGTAACGGTACGGATCTACATCAATGAGGGCTCGACGATGCAACAATGCTCTAAGCCCCACAGACCTAAACCCGGAGAAATCACAAATCCTTGTTTCCCAGGTTGAAAAGGGGTTCCCATGCAAAAAGGAACACAGGGAACTGCAATGCGTAGGGCTCTTCACATGGATCAGCGTTCAAGGTGCGCCTGCTCGGATCATGTCTTCAGTCGCCCCTTACAAACCTGACTCATGTCTCCCATGGTTCTCTAAGCGGTGAACCCCAGAACAAATAAACTACCCTAAGCCCTAAACCCTACATAAACAAAGGGGCACCCCAGAATCAGTCCCCTAAGCCCTACATAAACACAAAGGGGCACCCCAGAATAAGTCCCGTAAGCCCTACATAAACACAAAGGGGCACCCCAGAAAAAGTCTCTAGCTGAACCCCATGTGCTCCGTGCAGCCCAGTGGCGGAGTAGGAGTCCTGAGGGGCTGAGCCGCTTTTTAATCCGAAGAGTCTTTGGGGTTCCTTTAAAGACTAACGGTTCCTTCTAGGGTTCCTTAGAAGGGTTTAGGGTTCCTTGCATGGTAGAGTTTCAAGGGATCTATAAGGATCCTATAAATTCGCTGTTTCGGGTTTGGGGCAGTTTGGGGGTGATCCCAAAACCCTAAAACCCTAAACCCTACATCTTAAACCCTGCATTCTCATCCTGAAAAAGATCGTTAACTCCAAATTCCGACGTCCTAGGGTTCAGGGTTGGGGTTTAAGGATATAGGGTTTAAGTTTAAGGGGGGGGGGGTAATGGTTTAGGGGTTAGGGGTTAAGGCTAAAATCCTAGTCATTTTTTTTGGTTTCAACAAAGGCGGCCTGTAAGAGTACCACTGGCGAACTCGGGCTAATCCTACTCCCCAAAAGCCTTGGACCCCGAAACTCGATATAACACCGAAACCGTATAGAACCCGAAACAATCCCAAAGAGAGCCCGTTTAAAGAACGTTTACCGAAACCCTCAACCCTCATAGAACCCTCAGAAACCCTCGAGAGAGCTTTTTGAATTAACCAGGAACCCTTATCGACATCCTAAAGCGGACCAGCTTCGATGTTGGGCTTCACACCCTTGTAAACAGAGAGGTCTGTGTCCTTGATGACCAGATCCTTGGCTCTTCAGCACGGTTTAGGATTTAGGTTTAGAGTTTAGGGGCGGTTATCTAAACCTTTAACCCTAAACTCAGAAAAAAAAACAAAAAACACGCTGCCGAAAATCTGAGGATCTTTGTGACACTTCCCACCTCACAAGGAGGTCTGAAGAGCTGTAGTCGAATGATTCGGGTTTCCATATTAGGCATGCAACAGCAATTGATTATGATCACACTGCAAACGATGACAGACGTAAGACTGAATGTCATACAATTACGATAACACTCAAACAACATCAAGATGGTTGGGGTGCCGAAGAGTAACAAGCTTTGAGGGGGCTGCCTAGGTTCTGTGTGGCAGGACGACCTGCAACCCCTGCAGGTGCTGGAGTCTTGCTAACGAAAGAACGCACATTTCGCACCCTACTAGGGTGCGCACATCTAAATATCAACAGGTTGACACACGAAGACTAGGATATAAAGAGAGAGAGGGAGAGAGAAAGGGAGAGGGAGAGGGAGAGGGGTGTGTGTGTGTGTGTGCGTGTGCTTGGCAATGGTATGGTCATCCTTGTATGGGACCTTGACTAAGCACAAACCCTGTAGAACCTGTAAGCGCTTTCAAAACACCAGCAACTGTCCAAAAACTCATTGGTTTGGGAACTCATGTCCTAAACCCACAACAGTGTGAATCCTGATTCGTTCCTAAACCCCAGCCTAAGCACGAATTCTAACTCTTCAACCCTAAACCTCCCTAAACCGTTCTAAACCCGAAACCCCCAAAGCCCCCAAAACCCCCCTGAAACCCTAAAACCCTAAACCCAAACCCCTAAAACCCGAAAAAACCCCAAGCAAAACCCGGCCCCTCGGCTTGAGCCGAGCCAGCCTTCGGAGTTCTGCACTGCGTGCCGCGGGTAAAGGATCTGCTGGTGCTCTGGCCTCTGGATTGCTGCAGGAGGTACCATAAGGTTTAGGGTTTAGGGGCCTTTAATAACTAGAATAGGGCTCTGGGGTATAGTATACTATAAATACAATGATTGCTGCATGGGGTAATATAGGGGTTTCCAAAAATCAGGGTACCGTATTTTGGGGTCCGTATAGTAAGGGTCCTACTATTTCGGGTACTATATTAGGGTCCCCTATTTTCGGAAACCCCCATATAGGGGCCTTAACAACTAGACGAGGGTTCTGGGGTATAATACACTATAAATGCAATAAGGGAACCCGCCAAAATGGTAGAGGTAATTATGTAGGCCCCTATGTTCTACCACGCGGATCATGATTCTATGGGTGGCTCTAAGGGTTTCTTTAAGGGTACCTATTACCCATAAGGGTTCAAGATCTTAGAGCTTCAGGGTCTTGCTTTTTGTCGGTTCTTGGGGTGTTCGGGTTGAGTTTTAGGCGCTCTAGGCCTCGGGCATTGGGATCTGTAGCTTTCGACCTGCCGGCTCCCAACCAAAGGCTGCATGATCATCGTGGTTGCCTGCTCCAAATCGTCGTACCCTGCCGAACATCATCAATGTAGAGCGTAGCAAGCGGAACACGTTCAGGAGTCGAAACCCTAAACCCTCATAGACACCCGAAGCCGCCGTGGACATGGGATATTAAAGACTGCATGGAGGACTCCATACTCGAAGTATAGCAGGGAATCTAATACAATGATGTTGCTAAATCCTCGACACCGCTTGAAGAATTGCGAGATCCCCAATCCGGAGTGCTTCCGGTGAGGAGGGTGTTCCCCCCCGAATGGCCCCTAAACCCATAACGAAGAAATTCCTGAAATCCCTAGACCCTACGCCTAAATCGTAAAGCCCAATTCTTCCTAAACTCTTTTTTCCAATGCAATTACTGCGCCTAGCGCGATGTGTGGATTGAAATCTGCGGCCCTCCTGCATCCTAACCGCCACCTGTCGGGAACTCCGTTGATAAGCGAGCTGAGTCTGCATTTGCTTCCTAAGCTCTTAACCATGTGCCCAAAGCCTAAGCACCCTCTTGGCGCCTGTCTTTGTCTTCCTTGAGAGTTACGAAAGTGAAGGGGTCGAACTTTTTCACCTCCTCCTGTGATCAATTGCTTGAGACTGTTATAGGGTGTAGGGTGTAGTACAAAGATGTACAAAGGCTTCACGTGGGCCTATGCAGATTCTACAAGACCTTGATACCTAGCGGCTTCAGACGGGCTTCTGTACGGGTTCCAGAACCTGAAGCCCTGAACAAACGGGGTGTAAGAAAGGTTTGAGGCCTCTGGGCAGGTTGTTTCGGCAGTCACAAACTTCGAATCCCTACGAACAGGATCATGGGACTTAGCAACTATAGTAGGGTTATACATCGGGCAACCATACTTATAATTACTTGTTATGCCAGCTAAGGTGCTTATAACCTGGTTTACTAAGTCCCCTGACCCTCCAAGTAAAGAAGCATCTTGCCTCAAGTTGCAGGGTTCTTAGCTTCGGAAGTTTAGACAGGGTTTTTTGGAAATCTATGGGGGGTAGTGCGTGCTTAACTAATACAAAGGAATACTTTGAATACTCCTGAAGTCAAAAATCGCATCCTCAATACAGGATCTTGAAATAAGTGAGATTGGAGCTCGGCACCCGGTTCTCCGATGATCGTGTAGCAAGACAGAGACACCTTTGTTCTGATTCCTCCATTTCGAAAAAGACGCCCAAGCAAAAGGGGTACAAAGGTTTCACTGGGCGACCTAGTGAACCCTGAAACCCCAAACCCTCCCATCTACGAGCCCTATAAACCTAAACCCTATCCGCCCCCCAATTCTACACACAATCTAAGCCCTCTTAACCGATTGCAGTCTCTGGGTTCGGGATCTTATTTCAGTCTTGCTTCGGGTTGTGCAAGTTGGGGCAAGTTGAAGGCTCATGGTTTAGTCCCGTCACTACCCTAAACCTAGAAATAAAAAAAACCTAGCCCAATGTAAACCTCAGTGCTGTTGTTGAGATTGCCGTTTGTGATGGAGTTGTTGTTCTTGTGTGTGGCCGTCGTGATGATTGTGATGGTAACGCTGCGGTGAGCAGTGATGATATTGCAGATGTTGTGATCCTGGCTGTTGCTGTGTAGTAAACCCTAACTCCTAATGCCTTAAACTCTTAAACTCTCATTTCTAAACCCACAAACCAGGCTCTCAATGGAGCCCTAAACCCTTAAACCCCAAAGCCCAAAACCCGAAAAAAAACGAAACCTCCTGCACCCCAAGCTTTTAAACCCTACATGTAAGCCTGTCTTCGCCTCCTTGACTCATTGACCTTCTCGCGGCATGATGCTGTGAATCGCACCGCCCAGACGGGGAACCCTACGTCCGACGGCCTTACCAAGAATCTGCATTAAAGGAAACTACAGGTGGGTAGTTTAAGGTATATAGGGCTTCTATAAGGCTTCTATAAGGTATATAGACCTTCTAGAAGGCTCCTAGAACGGTAGCTACCCACCTGAAAATGTCCTAGTAGTACGGAGCCCTTCTCGGCTAAGGAAGACTATTGCTAATTATGCCAAGCCTCTACCCTAAACCCTACACGCTTACGCTATGCCCCCAATCTCCTGGCATTGGCTCTTCGGAGGTTTTGGCCCAACACTTGCAGGGTCAAGGGACTAAGTAACGCTCAACTTCTGGACTTTAGAGGGCTCGGGTTTAGGGTGGGTGTAGGGTTTAGGGTGTAGGGGTGTAGGGTTTAGGGTTTAGGGGTTCAGGGTTTAGGGGTTTAGGGTTTAGGCTTATTGTTCTACTGTACTTATGCTATTGTGTACCGCCCAAAGCCCCATTCTAATTCTTAATCCCAATATCTAACCCTATGAGCCAGGGCGTTCGGTGCAGTGAGCCGGCTAAACATCTCAAGTACAGCACGAGGTCCCCTGACAAAAGAACCGGTTCAAACTACAACTTAGAGTTTAGGGTTTTAGGGTTTAGGGTTTATGGGTTTAGATTTTCGGGTTTAGGGTTTAGTGCTAATGCGTGGGGAGGACTTGCACAATGATTTGGTCGCGCCCCTGATCCATTCAGCACTTCAGTCCCTAAGCCCTAAACCCTAGGCCCTAAACCCGTGTACCTGGAGCAGTCCTTGATTGCCACTTTGCCCTCGCTCGCGGATTCCACAAAGGAGCAGTGGTCGTGGGGATGCCAGTCGTAAGAGATAACCACGACATCGAACTTGTCACCTCAAAGACGTGATTTAGGGCTGCTGCTGTCAGGCTTCGGGGTAGCCGGTTGAGAGGACAGCAGTGTGTGGCTTTCACTTAATGGTCGGAAGAATTAGCGAATATAGGTAGTAGCCTCAGTAGCCCTAAACCTCTAAACTGCTAAACCCTAAACCCAGTAAACCGGAGCCTGTCTGCGGTTGAGTGTTTCCGTATAGCGAGTACTCGCTGGCGACTCTCGGGCCTCGGCACTTCGATACGGACGTTCAGTTCAGTCTTCCGTGATGGATTTGAAAGGCTCTGTTCCTTCATTCGACCCTGTTCCCCTAAAAACCCTAAACCGCTGATGGCAATAACCCCAAACCATACTGCATGGTCTGGGACAGACCAGGCCATGGAGCTGCTGCCACTGCTGTCCATGCTGGTGGTCGGCTCTTCTGACTTCTGGTACTGTGCTTTCGGGGCCCAGAGACCATACTAGGTAAGGCTCATTCTTGGGATGGCTTTTGCACACATTTTCATGTATTCCACGACCCTGCCCCCTCCACCCCCTTTTCCTCGACAAAGACAACAAACAACCTAAAACCTCAACCCCAGATACACGGGACTATCCAGAAGCCAAAGAGCGAAGGTTGTTGATGATAGGGACAATGTCTGCCTTGGCCCGACATGATGCGAACCCCTGATTTGCAGAAGTTGGCTTTATCCGAACCCTAAACCCTAAACCCTAAAACCCTAAACCCTCAACCCCTAAACCCTAAACCCCTTATTTGCTTTAGGGTTACGGGCTTTATCAGGGCAGCGGTTTGCTCGAAGGCTCAGGGGTCTGTGGGGGCTGCCGGGATAGTTTCAAGATTTCCAGAGAGACTCGTAGGCTCCCTTGTAGTTCCTTTTTGTGGCTTTATATTTAGGATCCTATAGGGCAACCCCAAAGAAAGGAACTCCAATGGATCCAAACCCTAAACCCTAAACCCTAAAACCCTAAACCCTAAACCCAAAACCCTAAAACCCTATAAGTCCTAAAACCCTAAAACCCTAAACCCCAAAACCCTAAAACCCTATAAGTCCTAAAACCCTAAACCCAAAACCCCAAAACCCTAAAACCCTAAAACCCTATAACCTATAAGTCCTAAAACCCTAAACCCTAAAACCCTAAACCCTACAACCATAAATCTTAAACCCTAAACCCTAAAACCCTAAAACCCTATAAGTCCTAAAACCCTAAAACCCCAAACCTTAAACCCTAAAACCTCATGGGTCGGCTATGGGGTTTTTTGGGATCAGGGCTTCGGGGCTTTGAGGGCAAACCCTAAAACCCTAAAGCCCTAAACCCTAAAACCTGAAAACTCTAGGCTGTGGGGTTCTTAAAGGTCGGGGCTTCGGGGCTTCGAGGGCCGGTGGGGCCTGGTCATGGTAGGCGCCTTTTAGGGCTGAGGGGTTTGGGGCGATTTAGGGGTTTAGGGTTTACGGGTTTAGGGTTTGTTTTAGGGGTTTAGGGTTTTGTTTTTAGGAGTTTAGGGTTTTAGGGTTTAGGGGTTTAGGTTTTCCTTTTTTAGGGGTTTAGGGTTCAAGGTTTAGGGGTTTAGGTGTTTTTTTTTAGGGGTTTAGGGTTCAAGGTTTAGGGGTTTAGGGCTTAAGGTTGAGAGGTTTAGGGGTTTAGGGTTTAAGGTTTAGGGGTTTAGGGTTTAAGGTTTAGGGGTTTAGGGGTTTAGGGTTTAGGGCGGTTTAGGGTTTAGAACCTTAACTCGGACTTTAACCCTAAATCCTAGACCCAGCCAGATCCAAGCAGCTGCGCTGTACGGATTCGCAAGCGTTCCTGATGTGGGGCTTCGTTGTATGAGGCTGCGGTGGGGCGTCAATCGTTTGGTGGGTTCTCTTCACCCTAAGCCCAACTTTAGGGCCTACGGTTAGGATTTTGCGAGATCGGAGGCGGACGGTAACGCCTCGGATTGATAGCAAGAAAACCTAACACGAACATGCCACATCAAAAAACGACATCTAACTGCCAGAATCAGGATGCCGAAGTCCGAACATCGAAACGATGTCTAGCAGCCAGCAGGCCTCGCCTCTCCCCCTCTCGCTCTTCCCACAGATACGTGTGCACATACAGACACAAACTGCCTGGCTTCCTAAGCACGAAACCCTAACCCTAACCCCCCAGGTACCCGCTACAAAAGTGTCCTAGAGCCCCAAGCGCCCCATGTAGTAGGTACCCGGAGGGTTAGGGTAAACCCTAAGCCCTAACCCCCAGAACTTCAAAGCCCCATAAAGGCCTGAAGTTTGAGAAGCCTCTAAGCCACACGGCACCAAGAGCCCTTGAGCCAATTAACATACAAAATGTATACACACATAAGTATAGACATATTTGCTCATCTTTCTGCTTACTTATGCGACACATATTTATACGAATGAATGAATGAATGAATGAATGAATGAATGAATGAATGAATCAACAAACACGTACATACATTAATGTGTAGAACTCTATTGTATATATATATATGTATATACATACATATGTAGATATTATAAATACAAATCGCATTGTGTATGTCTGCGTGTTCTATTTACATATGTATACACACACACACAAACGCAAATACAGGATATAAAACGTGTGTAGTTCAGAAAGTTTAGGATGTTGGGGCCCAGTGGCTTAGGCTTGGTGGGCTTAATCTTGCATTCTAGAGGCTTCGGGGATTCTCGGATTCTGGGGCAAGTCAGACGATTAGGCTGTTGGGGTGCTCTACTTCCGCTTTTTTCTTGCTTCAGGCCCGAGGATTTCGGGCTTCGGGTTTAGGGTTTGAGGTTTGGGGGTGGGTGCTCGAGCACACTCATGGGCCCTGAGGTTTGTTGAGGACTCTTGGGGTTCCCGATGTGGCGGCAGCTCCCGCGGCCCTTGGAGCCTGAACCCCGATCCGCTCAACAAGGGTTGTTAGACTATGGTGTATAAGGCTTAGTTAGGTTTTAGGGTTTAAGCTATATTTGGCTTTGTTTATAGGGCTCTGGAAGGTTTGTATAGGCTCTTTATCGGAATCTACAGGGCTTCTACGCGTCTGTATAGCGTCCGTTTTGCAGAATGCTCAGCCAACACCTTAACCCTAAACCCTATAAACCCTAAACCCTACACCCTGACTAAGCCCCCATGTAGACGATCATACTCTTCGTGGGGCCCTTCCTGGCATTGAACCCCAAAAACCCCAACCTGAACTCCAACGATCCATCCCCAAACGGTCCTAGGTACTTTCCCAAACCATAACCCTAACCCCCCAGGTCCCCCAGGTATCTACTATATGGGGCACTAGAGCACCTAAGGCCCTAAATCGTAGGTACCTGGAGGGTTAGGGTAACAGTGCTCCCTATGTTTAAAAACCCGACATTCTACTATACGGGTACTTTGAACTTTTAGGGAATCTTCGACCGAAGTGGCCGGTGATGAAATCGTTCTGCACATCGACGATGATCAAGGCCTCATCGGCGGCGGGCTTTTTCATGCTGTATGTCTTTCTATCCGTGGTGTGCTGTATGGGGGTGGGTTGGGGTTCAGGGTTGTAGTTCTCATGTTCTTGGTTTGCAGGCTCTGGGTGTGGAATCAAGGGTTAAGGGGTTAGCCCTAAACCCTAAACCTAAACCCGAATCCCCAAAACCCTAAACCGTAAATCCCCAAAACCCTAACCCCTAATCTCCAAACCCCTAAATCCCTAAACCCCTAAACCCTAGGCCACTAAACCCTAAACCCTTACAGCTCACAAACCCAAAACCCCTAAATTGGCCAGGAATTCGTCGACCCTCCTCGCCCGATCGGTGCCTTCATGGGATTTGACCTAAGATTGATTAGGGGCCTTCATAGTTAGAACAAGTTTTTTTGGGGTATAATTTTTCTATAACTATGTGTTCTTGGGGTGAATTATACTATAGCTATAGGCTTTTGGGGGGTATATTATACTATAACTCTAATCAAGAACCCTAAGACTAGTGACTAGTATTTGTAATTATTTAAGCAACGAGGGCGCTAGGTCCGCTAGGTAACGGCACAAGAAGAACACTGACGAACTTGCGTGTTGCTGACCAACTTGCTGCGTTACCTATAAGGGGGGTTCCGAAAATAAGGGACCCCAATATAGTACCCTAAATAGTAGGATCCTTATTATAAGAACCCCAAAATAAGGTACCCCGAATTTTCGGAAAGTCCAATAACGCTTTACGCCCCCATATTAGGTGTGAACACGGGTCGGGGCTCCGAACTTCGAGCTGAGGGCTTCTAAACCCTAAATCCCCAACCGTAAACCCCGAATTCCAGATCCTAAACCCTTAAGGTTTAGGGTTTAGGGCTTTAGGGTTTAGGGGTTTATGGTGCTCATGCAATCAGACTGCGCATCTTCCCGCATGTGAGGAGGGTTTTTTGCAAGGTCAGGTGCTTCAGCCTGTCGCTACTACCCAGACGGTCCATATATCCTACCTTACTCGTAGTCCCTATAAACCCTAAACCCTAAACTAGGCCGTATATGAACTCTCTTCGCTAGGAAGCCCTTCAAAGCTCGTAGTCTATGACGTTCCCAAGGAGGAACAGCTTGTTGTTGCCCAGATCTTAATTGCTTGAATCCCACCTTGGAAGCGTTTTGTGTATGTGTATATATAGTAGTCAGTCCCAGGAACAGTCTTGGTGCGGATCTGCTGCTGACCGGGCTGATACAGCCTCTCGCTGGTTCCGGGTTCCGGGTTCAGGGTGTAGGGCTTAGGGTTTAGGGCTTAGGGTTTAGGGTTCACACTTGTCCAGTTTCGTGTGGAGACTACCGGCGAACCCTTGAGATGATCCACAGAAGCTGCTAATGCAGGGCCCGTCTTAAGCAGAACAAGGCTTTGGGGTATGTTCATAGTATACAGTATACAGTCTATAATGGCTATAAGGTATGTTGCTTCTGAATATTCCTACGCCTAGATTGCCCCAACCTGGAATAGCCCTGCAACTTTGATTGTGGAAATCTCAGCCAGAGGCTTTGCAGAGATGGCTTCTTCTTTGCTATAGCCTTTCAATTGAAGTTGGCCCCGTGGTGCAGGCTGTGACATCGCCCTGAACCCTAAACCCTCAACCTTGTTTGTATTAGTCCTAACAACAACCCCCCTCCAAAGTCACGGCTCGGAAGGGTCAAACCTTAGGCCCAAGACCAGTAACTGGCAATTGTCGATACCTCAAGGCTGCCGGAGATTTTTTCAAACAAAAACCTACAGGACAGCAAAACAAAAACTTGAACATCTAAAGTGTGGCGTTAGGTCATAACGATAGAGATGGATCCCAAACCACACACCCAAAAACCCAAGCCTACACCACACAAAACAGAGAAGCCACGCAACCCCCACAGCCTAAGACCTAAACCCAAAACTCTAAAACCCTGAACCCTAAACCACCAATTCCAAAAATCCCAACCCCGAAATAACCATAAACCCGAAACCACCCATTCCAAAAACCCCAAACCCTAAACTAGCCAGTTCGGTGGACCTCAAGAAAGCACGCAGCTCGTTCACACCGATGGAGCCATCCCTTAGAGGTTAGGGTTTAGGGTTCTTATTTTTTGGGTCTTTGGTATATTTTCCGGTGTTGTCAGAGTTTAGGGTTTAGGGTTTAGGGGGTGAATATGGATTCTGTAAGTTGGGGTTTAGGGTCTGGGGCTTAGTCGGGCTTAGTTGATAATTTCGGTATCTGTGAGGGTTTGGGGTTGAGGGTTTAGGGGTTTGAGGGTTGAGGGGTTAGGGTTTCTCTGAGTTGTTGGCTCTGCTGTATGTAGGGCTTAGAGCTAACCTGCAGCGGACTCGGGTTTAGGGCTTTTGCATTTGAGGGTTTAAGTCTTTTTGTTCTAGTGTTTAGGGTTAAAGGTTTGTCTAGGCAGAGTAACGGGCTTACACACGTGTCGGGTGCGTGTATCATGAGAACAGGGATTTGCCTAAGGAATCCCGTTGCAAAATTTCCAGGCCCCTGTATATATGTACACATACATGCATAGGGTTCGAGGCTTTACAATCCAAGTTTCTTCCTTCGGGATAGAGGGCGTACTGGCAGAGCGGTCCTTTTTGATCAGGATAATGGACAAGCCCCCAACACCCTACGTTTCAAATATCTCTCATAGAAGAACTCGGAAATTGGATTGACCGTGGCGACAACCACCATGCACCAAGTGCCAGACATTTTCTGCCCTTCCCGCCAAATCTGCAAGCAAAAGCAGTACAGCAGCATCGGTCGTCATGTGGAAAATGACATGGTGTTCCGTGATGTGAAACAAAAATTGTGCTGTCAACCAGTCAACCATACTCGTAGTCGTCGTAGTAGCAGCAGTAGTAGTAGCAGTAGTAGTAGTAGTAGTAGTAGTAGGAGGAGCAGCAGCAGGAGTAGTAGTAGTAGTAGTAGTAGTAGTAGTAGTGGTAAAGGTAGCAGTAGTGCGCATGCATCGGAAGCACGATGCTCATAGGTACGATGCCACACATGACAACGAATATCAGGACCAAAGTCTGATAAGGGTAGAAGCTTCCAATTCGATACTTTCGGGACCCTGACCACAGGCGTGACGTACCTGTAATTGAGAGAAGTCATCACAAGGCCAGAATAACTAGTCCACAACTAAACTAAGTTGCTGCAAGGGCTATATTGTCTACCAGGACTATAATTATACAGGTACACATTCCGACCCCCATAGTGCCCACACAAGCCAGATGATCAGCTTCCAAAATCACGAAACCCTGCCCAAACGGGGCCAAGGAGACTTGTCCATGTCCAGGGTGTTGTGCATTGTTGCCATATCCGCATCCGAGAAATTTTCACCTCTGCACAGAAGCGCTTTTCTGTGAGGGCGACGGAATAGGTTTGAGTTTGGGCATGACATTTTTTCCTCAGTTTTTCGTATTATAACCAGTATATACCCCAAGACCACTGTGGTAAGGTTCTTTGCAGCTTGGCGAGGATAGCTTTGAGCTGCTGCAACATCGGAGCCCAATAGAGCTATCAACAGTTTGCCCGAAAAAACTGCATTTAAAGTAAAGTACCTCAAACCCGGTTCAAAGCACGCAAGATTACACACAAGAACAACACATTGTGTGAGCTTCAGAAAACACGGCACATTAAAGTAGAATTCCCACTGCGCATAGGCGTATCAGTCGCGTTCTGAACAAACCGCCTTTGAATCCACGTGCATGGCTGTCCAATTAGGCTCTCTTTTGGGCTTCTCAAACTATAAGGTGCCGTATAGAACCCTAAACCCTAAGAATTACAATTATATAGTTTGGACAGGTACTCAGGTGTGAGGCAAGGCGAGAGCTCAGGGTTTAGGGATTAGGGATAAGATTTAGGGTTTAGACGAGTTTAAGGTTTAGAATTTTAATTGAGGGCTCAGAGTTTAGATTCCAACTTTAGGTTTTAGGGTTCAACACTTAGATGTAGAGCTTGACTTATGGCTTCGGGTTTAAGCTTCAGGGTTTTGCTCTGAATACAGGGCCTAGGCTTTAGAGAGAAAGTTGGGGGCCTTAATGAAATAATACAACTGTACGAAGGAACCCTATAAGACGTACTACTGCAAGTTCTTCCGACGCCTATCACACATCCAGGCTCTGAGTACGTAGTTCGGGTTTCTGGAAGCTGCTATCTCTCGCTACAGAGCCGGAAGACTTAGCCTGAGCCTTGCTTCGGGTGTAGGGTTTGCCCAGAAGCCTGGGAAAATGCATTCTCGTTTCTCCACTGGCCCTCTTTCTTGAGGAACCTCTGCAGAGATGATATGGGGTGTATGTAGTATAGCCCTATAGGCCCTAAACCCTAAACCCTATAGCCCCATAAGAGCAGGTGCCGGGATCCTAAGGCTAGTTGTGCTTCTTGGGACATCGCAGAGCCAAGGAAGCAAACCTTGAACCCTAAAGGACCCTAAACCCTCAACCCCTAAAAACCCTAAATCGTGTAAGCATCATGAAGCTCTGCTTTCAATATCCCCACCGGAACGCAGCAGACCTGGGAAGGCATCTTGCATCAAGGACTTCAGCTCAGACACCTGGGGGCTTGAATGAAGGACTTTTTTGTTGTCAACAACATGCATATTTGAGCTTTTCTTGTCCAGTATTCTAGGGGAACTAAAGGCAAATCTTTGGGACAAGATGAGGACTATAGTACACCAGAAAGGTTAAATCTTACTCAGGGTTCAGGGCTTAGGATCTCGTTAATTCAGAGCTACCCTAAGGGTTTTTAAGGGTTGGGGTTGTCGAGTTTAGGGCTGTAGTGATTGAGGATGTCAGGGCTTTGAGTGCAATTTCTTGTTTGGGTTTAGGGCTTAGGTTTTTTTTGTTGAGCACCTTTTTTCCGTCTGCTTGTTAGAGCTTTCGGAACCTGCTGGAAGCAGGGCTTAGGGTTTAGCGTTTAGGGTGCAAAGGAACAAAGTAGCGTAGAATGGCATTGGAACAAGACTTTGTTCATCCATCATGCTGGTAACACCATCTGGCTGGCGAGAACGGTGTAAGATGCATAACCCCAACTTGGCCCCTGTTCGAGGCCTAATTGAACATAATGAACAATGAGATCGTCTCACCCCCCACCACAGAAAAAAACAACTCAAGTCGTCCCAGTGGCCTGCGTAAATTATCAGCAAGATTCACGTCATCTCATAGAACACCCCTTATAGCTAAGCACATCGCTGCAGCTGAACCCGGAAAAAAAAAAACGAAGGGTACCGTATCACCGTATCCCCTACTACTCAGTCTTCCTAGGGAGACCCGAACAGAAAAAAACAGGGCAATGCTGGCGACCTAGGCTAAACTCTAAACCCCACATGACGGCTGCAACATGTCCCTGTTGCGTTTATGTGGGGTTTGTGGTCTTGGGTCTAGAGTTTAGGGTTTAAGGGTTCAAGGCTTGGGGCATCTATTCACGATCAAGATTCCTCACAGCCAAGGCGCATCCAGCAGGCCATTGCCGTTGTGGTCGTACTTCCTGTCACGCACGTAATACATGGGCTCTAGTGATTAGATTCAGTGTTCTCAAAACTCATTTGGCTTTCCCAACTAGAAGTTGCTCTTTGGGCACGGTCTACTGCACCGTTTCGAAAAGATAATTACTGGAGATACTACTGCTAGTTCTCAGCTTGCAAAGAAGCTCGTGGCCTCCAAAAGCACAATGCTCGTTGAAGAGATTTTGCCCTAGACTCTAAACCCTATACTTTGTTATCAACCACATACCCTTTGCTCACTGCAGGCCCGTCATCGAACTGTCCAGATAAGCTTGCAAAGGCGAGAACAGCGTCTCTTTTCTTACATGTTAATATTGGTCGGGCAGCGGCATGCAGCCATACGGGAAATGGTGATGGGTTTTGCATGGAGTTTATATTGAAGTAAAGACCTATAGGGTTAAGGGCCATACCCGTCTAGATTTCCTAGCATTTTCTGGAAAAGAAGAGCCTCTCAGGATGGCTTTCTTAGTTTATGTTTGTGTCGTTTCCGGGTCGCCCAAGAAGAGAGCCACGCCTGAAACAGCTCGTCAAGCTTTTCCTACACAGCTAGGTTGAAATTTAGGCTTGAGTTTGCGGGTTTCTTGGTTGTTATGGGCACTTCGACTTCCTATAAAAAGCGCCTTTTTAACCATCCAAACAACACACACTTGTGATAATAATCCCATATAGCTTTTAATCCCATATAGCTTTGAAGAACGACAGAAGTCACCAAAAATGAAAGAAAGAACAATTCCTAAGGGCACTAAAGCTATGAATTAAGCTCCAGTCTGTGAACCCGAAGTGTTGGGATAAGGGTTTAGGGGTTGGGGCTTAGAGGTTGGGGTTTAGGGTTTGGGGTTTCAGCTTTAGGGTTTAGGGCCTACAGAGGTTAGCTTCTCGGGCTGGATGGTTTGGGGTCCAGGCTCCTGAACTCTAAACCTTTAAACCTACAAACTCTGATCCCCTGAAACGCCAAAACTTAGTCAATAGAAACGAATCTCCGAACTCTCAAACCTATAATCCCTCAAACCCTAAACCCTAAACCTATAATCCCTCAACCCTCAACATCAAACCCAGGGCCCCAGCTTGAAGATCTGCTCCGTCAAGTAGTGAGGCTTGTTAGATGACAATAGCGAGCTGCTCGTTGAGACCTCGGCAGAGGGGCTTTACGTTTTCGGCCGAGGGCTTCGCGCGCACCCCAAAGTCTATAGGACTTAGGGTAACTTTATAAGGGGTTTAGGATAAGTTTAAGCTTCAGTGAGCGACACCCCAACGGCTGGGGTCCAGGGCGTTGGGGCCCTATTTCAAAACCTCCGGCTCAATTCGCCTGGCGCTGTTACAATGATGACTAATACATATCCCTAGGGCTCCAGTTACCTAAATAGTGGGTTACTAACCATATATTATGTACCCCAGTAACCTACCATTTAGATAACTGGAGCCCTAGGGTATGTTATTGCTGCGTTTGCTTTTGTGCTATTGTCGTCAGGGGGGGCTTCCATACGAGGTCCTACACGGGTGGCTATAACAGTTGCGACAAAACTATATACTCGCTATAGTACGTACCCTTATATCTCCTTTTGCGGAAACCCTAACAGCGCTCTAACTTAGAGAACTACCCATGTACTCTAGGTGCCTCGGAACCTCAACAATATTTCCGGGACTCGGAACACCCTAAACCGTAACCCCTAAACCATTTAGGGTCTAGGGGGTGTAGTTTAGAGTTGCCTCACTACGGCATTTAGAGTTTGTTCCCAGCCCTCTCCCTGGCTGGTGGCACATTGATAGCCACTGCCCGGGAAGAGGCGCGCAGGCCTTAAGGGATACCTGCATATTATGAACAACACCCCCCCTCTTCGGGAAGGCACTGCAAGCATGTCGGCCCGAAGCCGTGCAAACTCAGTTTGAAGCCTGTTTGACGTGTCTGAACTGTAGCATGACGTTGAGATACACCACAGAAGTAAACGCGGACATGTTTTGTTTGGTTCCGAACATTCCTGGCAACCCATGGATGCTGCAGCACGAACTACGAGCGCATGTAAAACGTAGATGGACGACCTTCCCCAAACACATCAAGCACTGTTCGAAAAGACAGTAGTCCATCGTTGACCCTGCTCCTCGCGGGGTACGGAGTAAGGATGCAGGGTTTCCGAAATCGGGGTGTTCTAGGGCTTAAAGATTGGATTGTTCTAGCAAGTCAGGCTTGGGGCGCTAGTCGGCTTTAGGCCCTTCGCGCAATGATCCGGGGGTCGGGGCCAAAGTCCATCCCTCATAGGCGCCTCATACAGTCACACCGACAAGAACCACACAAAAAATATTCGGCCGCAAGCGTAAAGCCCTAAAAACCCTGAGCCATGACGCCCTGAAAGACCCAACACCTAAACCCTAAGACAGTAAGCCCGAAACCATAAACCCAGATGTCGAAGGACCTAAAAAACTTCAATCCAAGATGCTAAAGATTTCGAGGATCAGGATTCCGGGTTCATGGTGTTAGGGGTTTAAGGGAAAAGGGCTTGGGGTTTATATTCATATAGAAACCCGGATAGTCAGAACCGCGGTTCGGGAGTTTCTGAACCAGGACTATTTTGGAAAAGCCCTAAGACTATAGCTAGCTATTCACGACCAGCTCAGTTGATCCGAACTGAGAGGCTAAAGCATAAAATATCGGAAAGATCAGATTCGAACACGCCTTCGAAGTGCTACCTGAGGTCTCGATTCAGATCACTTATTGTGCGGAAGTCTCATGGCCTCGGTGAGTCTTGGCTGAGGGCTTAGAATCATGTAAGGTAGGGGGCCTAGGTTTCAGGGTCTGAGCACAAAAAACCTGAACCTCTAAACCCGAAACCCAAAACCCCTAAGCCTCGAAACACCAAATACCAGGGTTTGGGGTTCAGGGTTTAGGGTCTCGAAAACCCCTAAACCTTAAAGGAACCCCCTAGAGATCCCTTTAGAGGAACTCCCCAAAAGGTTTATGTAGAATTGTGGGTGCCTAGGCTTTTGCCTCCATGGCCAAGGACCCTACTAAGCCAAAAAAAACTAAACCTATTGAACTATTGTAAGACTCCAAGAACCCTAAAAGTTAACCAGGCCTCCAACCCGAGGTTCTTCGCCTGCTCCTCTTGCAGGCTGTCTCGCAGATCGCGGATCTGGCCTTCATACTGCGCTCTCTTCTTCCCAGTCGAGACGGCGCACTGGTCCAACGCCATGTGGTAGGCATCTCGCTCGGCAACTGCCAGCCGCAACATCTCAGACTGCTGCCCAGCTCTGGATGCCATCTGCGCGACGTCTGCCTCAGCCTGCAGTCTGGCCCGTTCTCCCGCCTGCATACCCATAAGATGCCCGGCGAGCAAACCTGGATTGTGGCCTTCGTCCACCCCCAGACGTCGGCCTTCAGACCTTCCCAGAAGTCTGCCCTCCTCCACGCCAAGCTGATGGCCTTCCTCGTGGCCAGCCAACACCCAGGAGTCCCTCTAGGACATTTTCAAGTGGGTAGTTACCGCTGTAGGAGCCTTATAGAAGGTCTGTATACCTTATAGAAGCCTTATGGAAGCCCTATATTATACCCTAAACTCGTAGTTTCCTTGAACCCCCCATGAGGCCAAAGACCGGCCTCTGACTGGATGCTCGCCGACGACTCGCAGCAACCCATGGCTCCTTCCTTGGCTTTTTCGGGCTTTGTAGCGTTTTTAAGGTTTTTGAAGGTTTTTAGGGGTTAGGGTTTTTAGGGTCTTTAGGCTGTTTTGGGTTTTTTTTGGGGGTCTTTTGGGGTTTAAGAAGGTTTTTGGGATGAGGGTTTAGGGGCTTATGGCTTTTGGGGTTAATAGGTTCAGGGCTTGGGGTTTTAGGGTTGAAGGTTGAAGGTTTAGGGCCTAGGGTCTAGGGTTTTTATGTTTAGGGCTTATAGGGCTTTAGGTTTTAGCGAGTTTTGGCACTCCACCTACATTTAAAACTTTTGTGCCTCCACTTTCTTTCCAGCAGAAACAGGAAACCATGCACATCAAAATACACGTATCCTTAAACCCTAAACCCTAAGCCCTATAACTATGTAAAGAAGTACCTGCCTCTGCAAGGAGGCTGGGGTCCTAAACACCAAGCAAGATAATCCCAGAGCCTCTAAGCCACTACAGACAGTGTGAACTGCCATTATCTCTATACCGCACCCTAAACCCTAAAATGGTTTAGGCCTTAGGGACCCTAGCCCCAAAGAAAGCTAAAGTTCTAAAACAGCCACCCTAAACCCTAAACCCTAAAACCTAAACCCTAAACCCAGAAGAGAAGCCAAGCTTCGTGCGATGGGCAGGGCGAGATGAGTCCAGCGCGAGCCAAGATCGCTGTGTTGCTTTAAATTTTAGAAGCCTTAATAATTAGAATAGGGTTTTGGGGCCCAGTATACTATGATTTTAATGAGGAACCCCCCAAAATAGTATAGGTAATTATTTAGGCCCCTATACTACGCTTCTGTTGACGGGGGTCAGGGTTTAGGGTTTAGGCGTTCAGGGCTCAGGGTTTAGGGTCTATAGGGTTTCGGGCTCGGGGGTTCAGGGTTTAGGGTTTAGGGTTTAGGGCCTAGGAATTCAGGCCAGGGTTTAGGGTATGTTGCCTGTTCGTGTGTCAGGGTCTAGGGTTGAGGGTAGAGGGTATGCCTCTTGTTCGTGATGCAACATATAGGGCTTAAGCTTAGAGTTTAGAGTATATGTTTCTTGCTCCTGTTTCCAGAGGGTGTCAATGGTCTGTCAGTATTCATGTCCGCTGTTTCTAAGAACTCCCGTGTTATTCGGATTCTGTCATAAGAGGTTTCCCAAACCCTAACCCTAAACAACATTGGCTGTTTGGGGGCCCATGATCCTCGTGAATAGGGCCTATTTGGAGGATAAGGAAACTTAGTACGTAAGGTTAGAAGTAGCTTAACTTGGGGTTGGAAGTGAGTATGCATGTAGTTACCTTGTTTATAAATCTAGATACTACGTCCTGTGATCATTAGAACCCTAAACCCTTGATCGATGCATTATAGAACCTTCTGAGCAACCCTGAATAAGTAGAATAGGGTTTGGGAGCCCATTATAGTATAACTACAATGAGGAACCCCCCAAAACGGTATAGGTAATTATTCAGGCCCTTATATTACTTCCCATGATCCTTTAAGGCTGGACGAAGTCGGTAGTTTCAGGAAGCCGGGAAGCCCAAAATAGACCCGAGGAGCTTCAGGTGACCCTCTGGCCCTAGAGGACAGGTTTTAGGGTTTAGGGTGTAGGGCTTAGGGTTTAGGGTTTGGGGTTTAGGGCTTAGGGTTTGGGGTTTAGGGTGTAGGGTTTAGGGGGGACCACAGGACCCAATAGTTCCACAAGGGATCTATAGGGGTGTTGAGGGTATTAAAGGAGTGTTAAGGTACAAAGGAGCACCCAATAGTTGCCCATTCGGGCTTAGAAAGAAATCGTGCAGGTTACCATTTTGTTGGAGGGTATATGATTATTATTAGGTATTTGGACACGCAAGGCTAGGTCATCTCTCATTCACACGTGATCTAAAACGGCCCTGAACCCCAACATCGATGCCAACCATCTGACAAATCCTGGACCCGGTTACCCGAAGCCCTAAAACTCGAAATCCTAAAATCCCTCAGCCCCAAACCCCAAACCCTAAAAGCCCTGAACCCTGAACCTTCAGCCGCCCGGAACTCTAACTCTGAACCCTAAAAGCCCTAAAAACCCTAAAACCCAAAGCCCTTAAACCCCAAAAGCCCTAAACCCTATGAGGCTCCGAACTGTTGTACCGCGAAGCTCTAAATCGCAGTGACTCGGGCCGACACCCATCACACATCGGAGCAGGCCTTTCTTTTGGGGCTTTAGGGTTTCGGGTTTCAGGGTTCAGGGTTTGAGGGTTTATGGCTTTAGGGTTTTAGGGTTTAGGGGTTTAGGGTTTCAGAACACGAGGAACTTTAAGATTTTCTGATAACAGACTTCAAGTTTTCGTGAAACTCGAACAACAAACCTACCTACTGCACCCTACAGTGATTACCCTAAGCCCTAAACCCTAAACCCCAACTTAGAACGCATACGTGGCAGGGTTTCTCCGGGTTCATGAAGCTTGACAGGCTCTAGTATTTTGGGGTATGGGTGAAATTTAGGGCTTTGGGTTCTTAGCAGCTACTGTGTCTGGCATTGCTTCTACTGAAGAACGACATCCTTTGCGGTTTGGGTGCAGGCCAAAGAGCATAACGGCAAGTCACTACTTGGGTAGTTCTCTATAATAGGGTCCCTTTCTAGGTCCCCAAAATAGTACGGCACCCTTATAAAAAGGACCCTACAAGGGACCCTAATTTAGACAACTGCCAACTTGGACCCTAGACGTAGTACCTTTTTCTTGGATAACCTAAACTGTATGTTTGATCCCATAGCAACAAACCAATGGTAACCAACAGGTGCCACAGTTTAGGGTCAAGGTAGATGCTAATTCGTCGAGATGACCTGCAACCCAAAGGCGGGCCGCCTGGACCCCAAAATCCGCTATTGGAACAGAGTGTGAGCGGAGATAACGCTATCAAAATTGCTAAAGGTATCAAACGGCCGCTCAGGAATAATTAGTGACGAATAGTTTTGGTAGTTATTTGGGCTTCTACACACGTGTCTTTCACATCCGACGATGTTGCTCCCTGACCTGCAGCGAATTCGCGAAGACCTTTGTCCAGCCACACGCCTGTTTAGGAAAAGGGAGGCAGCCTTGAAAAACGTAAATGTTTCAGGTCAAGCCCGGTTGTGGCACATGCTAGGACACTCATACGTAGAGTCTGTCTCATGGTCGACACACTTCCTTTTCGACCTGTGTGTCCACTGGCCATCGCATCCCTAAATAGGTCTATGCGGAACGGGGGGTTAGCTTAGGGCTTCCTGAAAAGTAGGGGGCCCTATACCCTTATAATATGAATCCCTGTATATATATATATATATCTATATATATATATATGGCATATGAACCCTAAACCCTTTCAGGGCTCTTTTCATCCTTAAGCTTCCATCACAGTTTCAAGCTTCCGCTCGGCTCTCGGCACAGCCAGTGCATCCTCGGTGGGATAGTTCTTGGCAAAGAGGCGCTGCATGGCCATGACTCGCTCCTGTAGGTCTACAAG